ACTGCTATGTTCCTTTTAGTTTTGAATCCCCTGCATAATGTGTGCTTAGATTTCTTCTCTAGCCAGCCACATCAGCAGTACAGAAAGCACTTAAGTGAACCTATGTGCAAACCCACCCAACAGTAAGTTCTAGTGTTCATACTACACTCCTCTCATACTTCCCAAGGCATCCAGGCAAAGCACAAATAAAATGGTATTTGAAATGTATATGAGTGGTAGCAGCTTGGATATAAGGGAGCTCAGGCCATGCCAACAACACAGATACATCAATAAATATAATAATAAATAGTCTAAGCTACCAAGTAGAGTTCAGGATACAGAATTACTTAATTAAAAGGTGGAAGGACCAAGTCTTGATCCCATTAAGAAGAGCTGTCTAAATGGCTACACAGGTTATGAGACTGGCACTAAATGAAGATTAGATCATGAGGAGAAAAGATTTTTCCCGAGATCAGAATGAAGCTGTAATGCAAAATGGATTTGAGAACATTTCTCTTACTTCAAACTAACAGAATAATCACATTAGGAGATTAGTGAAAAAATTATGCCTTTTCTCCAAACATCATTTAACATACTATTCTACTACTATTACCTTGCTTGTTCCAGTAAGATGACCTGTACAATACATGCTTAGGACATAAATAAAACTGAAAGAGATTGAACCAAATGCCCTTAATTCAAAGCAGAAAATTATTTTGGAGGACAGGAACAAATCACTGTTTCTAGGTTCAGATCCACTAGTATCACTGCAGAACTTACTAGATATTAAGACAACTATCCAAGCTCCACTGGAATCACTGATTTTTATTAACTGCCTATTCTATAGAAAAAAAATTGAATAATTGATTTGAAAAATGTTTTCTAAGTGATAATAGAGAAAGCAAACAATACAGGAAGAAAAGGTCACTTATTCCTTAAGGAAAAGTTACAGAAGTCAATCTACAGCTTGTATGGGATACTGGGATGATAAGGATTCCTTATGTATTTGGCACATGGAAAAATTAAGATTCTCTAACGTATCTTAGTGTGTCAGAGAAGTCTGATAAGTCTCTTGTCCCCCTATTCTGGCACTCAACCATAGTCTCCGCGAACATACTTGGAAACTCTGAAACATGTTGCTCCTGGGACGGAAGGTTTTCTCTAGTCATAGTCTGTTGACGGAAACCACTAACTGCCATGGTAAATTAAACAGATAAAGATAGCTTGGATTTCTAAATGAGAAAACAGCAAACCTCAGAGCAACCAAAATTAACAGTAGAAAAACCTGCCCATTACTTCTGAAAAAAAGCAAACATTGAACAAGATCCAGGTCCCTCTGAGGGCATAGCAACACCTTTTTAGGGACAAATGCACCACTGCGTCAAAACTCTGAGCTGGCTCACAATGGACAGAAGCAGTACTTGTCTTCACAGATATTCCATACCTAATGGGGTTTCATTTTGGTTTGTTAAATTATGAGATTATTATTATTATTATTATTATTATTATAGACTGCATAGTGTAGTGGAGACACAGTATGTTTGTCCCTTGATAGGACAGACTTATTCATGCAAAGGAACAGCTGAGGAGGCTCATGTACAGCAGCAGCCTGGGGAAAACACAGAGGGACATGTGCATATGTAGGCATGTGTTTGTGCATGGGCAAGTAAGGAAAAAGTTCATAATTATACAAGGACAGAACCCTTCAAGCCCAGGAAATTTTTTCTTCTCCATGTTTGAGAGAAGAAGGAATCAATAACAAGAAGCCCCAAGTCAAAATTACTGAAGAGAATTTGACATAGCAAATCTTATTCTACAGTGTTGCATTTCAATTGCACCCACATTCTCAGACACAGTTGTACGAGAATGAGACACATCTTAGCAATCAGTGTGTTTGAAGACTCCCAAAAATAAACTGGTCCTACTGAATTCTCAGAAGAATAGTTCCAGCTGGCAGGTGTCCATGTACATAATGGTATTTGTGCTACTGGAAAGTGAAAGGGGTTAGTGTGAGCCGTCAAAGACTCCAGCACTTTGGAGCTGAGGGATACACATGCTCCAACAAGCCTTTTCTTTCCCCACAGAATTACAGAAGAGGCCAAGAGTTCATTAAGACCCCACATGTAAATAGTAACATACCACCATCTGTCACAGCCCTGTGGGCACCATCAGGCCTTAACTGACCTGACCAGCCTCAGCTGCTGTCTCCACCAGCCCCCTCTGGGCCAGGAGCCCCAGTTAAGCTCAGGCCTATGTCCCCAGTCCTGGCTTGAGCTTAAATACCATGCCTGCCTCCAGCCCTGTGCTCATCTCCAGGATGGACCTCAGACCTGCATTATATGTAGCCACCTCCCCAGTCCTGCCTCCAGCTCATATCCTTCTGATCCTGACTGGAGCCTCTGGATAGGCCCAGACCCTGGTTGATCATTTGCCATGTCTGGGACTGCTGATGGGTCCTACTACCAGCCCCCAGCTTTGCCCACAGTCCTCAGGCCCCACGGCACAGGGTGTCTTGTTGGTGTGGGCACTGCCTCTGCTGGTGGCACCCTCGGGTCCCTTCTTGTCCTCCCCTTAAGGAGCAGCCCTGCCCATGCTCCTCCCAGACGCTATCACTCAAAAGCATCAGAAAAATATATTTCTAAAGAAGAAATCACTATTTTTAACTAAGTATTTCTTACTATTTTAAGACCTTCCAGTCTGATCCAAATTCATCTCTCAATAAAGAGCACTGTACCAAAAACTAATCTTCAAAGTTTTCTCCAGTCTTTACACAGAGAAAACAGCTCAGATCAAATGTTGTGTTGGTACTAAAAATTGCCATAGCCAGGCTGCTAAGGCAAAGCTGATAAAATGAACACAGTCCAGTCACAGTAAGTAACACATCAAAATATTTTTATATTTTTAGAAACTGCTGAGCACTGCTGCCTTTCTAAAGCTATGCTTTAATTTTCAAACCCAGAGTAGTAAACAAAAGTCACCTGCAATACACAGGTGGAGAGACTGGGGAGGGGGAAGGGGAAGAGAAGGACAGGAAAACACAATAACCTGTATTTCAAGAGACACAGGATTCCTTGAGCATGCGATATAACATAGAATGGGACATTAGTTAATTTAGATGTCTTATACAACTGACTTTTTTGAGGTTTTTAGAATACTCTGGTCTTATCAAGTCATATTTGACTTTATTCTCCATGAAATAAATATATTTTTGTGGTTTCTAGTATTTTTTAGATTATCATATGGTATAAAATACATATTCTATTGACCTGAGAACAGCAATAACTACTAAGCAAAGTAATTAGTGTTTGTAAACTACCAGGTTCTAAATAAAAGGTTTTGCAAAGGTAACATGTTAGGGAGATGTTAATTGTCTGCAGTTTGATCAACTTGGGAAATAATTTTTTTAAAACCCACTATGAAAATACGTATGTTCAAAATATTAAAAAAAATTTTTTTTCAAAGGGTTGTTACTCTCATCAGCCCCCTAATGCCAAGTGTATATGCCCTACAGTACCCTGCCTGTATTAACCTCTATAATTAGGCTAGCAATAACCTGGTATTGGAAATAGCAATACATTTTACCATCTTAAATGCACTACAACAAATCAAAAGACATGTAAACAAGGCCATGGCTCAATCAGTTGCACCCTGACAACATTTAAAACTATAAAGATATTATTACATCAGATTGGGATAAATATTAATGGAAAAGAAAAATTTATACCATCTGAAACTTAGACACAACCAAACATAAAAGAATACTTTGCTTATTTTTAATCATGAAAAGGATTTTGATCACATGGGCCCAAACAAGATGTCGACAGGAAAGACAGTAAGGGAAAAAATTTAGATCACTTAAAGTAACTACACCAGAAGAGCTCATACACAGACTTCAAAAACAATCAATGCATGAAACAGCAGTTTAAAAAGGTATTATAATTCAGCAATATGACAAAACATCACCCATACATTTACCATAAGTCAGCAGAAGAAAAAGTAACCACACTAAGCCCTGAACTGGTATTCTGACCTAAATAGCACACTAGGTTTTACAGCAAATTATGAAGGCAAGATTAAAGACAAGAGAGAAAGAGGAGAGTAGCAACACTCTTTTATGAAATGTTTATGAATGTGCTAGGCAAACTGAAAACAAAGAGAGCTAAGATCTACCACGTTGTTTTTCGCTAAGCAGTAAGTTCACACCTACCTGGGATGCCTAGAGCAATGCATTTTATATTTTACCACCTGGGAAATCACTACATAAGTTGGAGAAGATGGGAAAATCAGAAGAGGACTTGTGTGGGGGTTGTTTGTTTGTTTCAGGTTTTTTTAGGAAACTGACCAAATGGGAGATGACCAAGTGGAGCTGAGAAAAGGAATGCATGGAGGGAAGGAAGATGAAAATAGAATTCCTCAAAGCAGAAATACAGAACAGAAAAATGCTTGTAGTCTTATGGAGAAATGGGCATCCAAATTTGCTTGATAGGCAGAGGGTAGCTTATTCAAACAAAGAAAAGGCTGAAATATAAGCATGATAACTCTTTACAAACATATTAGAGGTACAAGAAGCAAATAACTATACCTAGTCTAGCCATTAATACATCTGGGCTGACAATCAGGTGTTTACAGATCGTAATGAGTTACTAATGATATTCTGGAACTGCGTTCTCAGAAATCAAAAGAGCACAGGGGGAAAAAAAAAAAACAAACCACCCATACCAAACTCTAAATGCTTTTTTCTTCTCCAATTTTCTTAGGACTTTTTCTTTTGAGAAAGAGTTAGATGAACTTACAAAAAGGACTGCATGATTGTATGCAGCCCTGGAGCAGCAGAAGTCTTGTACCCAAATAAGCAGGGTTTTATTTTCCAGAAAGAATGCCATTTAAAATCTTTTACTATTTAAAAGTGGTCATCCTGCCTCCTTCTGTGTAACTTAGGAGTAATACACCAGGCCTGCAGAAAGAGATAAATTGAATTCCTCAGCAGTACTGAATGTTTTATAAGTTTGGAAGATTCTTACCCTGTATTGATGGAAATGATTTCTATCAGTGGATTCTTCCTAATCTTTGGCAAATCCAGTCGTGCTCCCCCCAGACGTTTTCCATTATCCTTTTTCTGACCCAGCAGTCTCACAGAATGACCTTCAAATAAAGCACAAAAATGCAGTCAATACAAAGCACAAGTCCCATCGTATTTGTTTTGACTTGCTCTTCTTCACAAGTAGTGTTTACACTTCGAAGATTGAAAATGAGAATGAGATGTAGTAATTTATTTCCACCAGCTGGAGCATTTAAAAAGAGACACTAACAGGTAAAATAAATCATGTTAAAATGAACAGATTATTTCATCCAATTATCTTTTCACACTTGCATTTTCTGGTTTATTCAATTAAAATGATCGAAGCAGTTTCATTTTCAGATTCTCGAGCAAATATCAACAAAGCAATATTTAAATAAGTTGTATGGTGGGATTAAAATATTTTTCCCCAAAATTTCATTCAAACCTAAATTACTACGTAATAAACAACTAAATATTTTTAGCTTATTATATGGAGAACCTCATATGGAGAACCAATGCATTTCAGTCAAAGTTACATGACTCTCTAAGTCTGAGAGAAAGTGCTGTGAAGCATATCCTGATAACAAGTTCATGGCTAAGCTGACTACCAAGATTTACATATATTCCTCCCACACCAAGGAGACTGCAGGTCAGAAAACTGCCTCAACTCCTTTCCTGAAGCCAATATTATTCAGAGAGTAAAATACAAATACTATCACCAAATGCCTACAACAGTACATCAGTCATACCACGTCAAGTCCTATATTGAAAGAGCACAAATGACAGGGTTCACTAATATTCAGAAGCAAGATCTAACAATGAAGAACAAAAACAATTACGTGTATATATTATTGCAACAGGTAGTGTAAAATGGGCCCAAGTTATAAACATAAGACTTGTATCATTTATTCCACAAAGCAGATAAAAGAGAGCAAGGGAAACCTAATGCTAGATACCTGAAAAGAGGTGGAAAGTAACCACTACTTGGAGTGGAGGAAAGAGAGAAAGCATGTATCTGTTGAAGTTGGAAAACTCTGAGATAGTACATGAAACTACAGCTACAATCTGTCAAGTATTTCAGAAAAGAAAAAAAACCTACCCTAAAAAGGAAAAGGGTGGGGGGCGAAAGGAAAGCAATGAACTATGAAGTACTACCTGAGCTACATTTAGCACAGCAAAGTAGATAACCAATTCAGATCAATTAAAAACCATTTTCAACCGAATCTCCTAACTTACACTACCAACAGCTATTTACAAAACTAATTCATCCATCAGTTAAAGTCTTTCTCCACTACCTGTTTTGAGGAGTCATTAATTAATTTTTTAATAATGTGGCATTCATACTCTGAATTTATTTCTGTGATACGGCAACAACAACTTGGAAATAAACAACTACTTCTGGCATACCATCTTTCTCATTTTTTTTAAGACACGTGAAAATTCTCAATCGAAAATGTGATCTAATGAAGAAGTGAGCAGGACTGGCCTGATATCATATTGGTTAATACTAAAATGAGACATCATAACATCAACAGGAATTAAAAGGCGTCATTTTTGCAGTTGCATTTGACAAAAATTTCATTACATCCTGCTGTGAATTTAGCAATATGGTACTTGTGCTATTAACATTTGCTAAATTATTCACTTCTACCATTTCATGACAATAACAGCAGTATCTTTGTCTCACAATACAATCAGTTACTTTCCAATCCAATGCTCCATTAAGGAGTCGCAAGCATGGCACCATTTTATTTACTTGTATAACAACAGTGATTGCATTATGGTAGGCATAAAAATTAAACTAGAAGCAGAGAACATTCCTTTTTGTATTTCCTAATACTGTGGTTTATTTGGAATAAACCAGTTTATTCATTTTTTAAATATTCAATTACATTACCACATTAAAACTGTATTTGGATTTATGGCTGAAAATATAGTGGAATGATTTACAGTTTTCTTAAAACAATCAGGCTTAACAACGTAACAACAAGCTACCCAAAATTTAAAATTCATACATTTAGAACTGGGGTCAAACCACCACTCTGAAGTTTAAAAAACAAAACAAAACAAACCACAAAAACAACCTGCCCCCCCCCAAAGTAACATCTCAGAGAGCAGAATCAGTGAAGCGTGATCTCCTCTGAATGCATACCCTCACAATGAACAGCTATGTCCATTACTGCTCTCTAGTAAGAACTTAGCTCATGCTCTCCCTTTCTCATACTGGGAGCATTAATCAGAGGCAAACTTCTTCATGGAAATTCTGGAAAAAGAGTATCCTTTGGACTACAAAACTTGTCACAGATCTGTTTGAAATTTGTCAAAGGACTAAAAACTAGTAAGGAGGGAGGGAAATGGAGATAATGACAGACCTGTGCAGGAGGCACAACTTTATAATCCGTGTTTTCTTAGGAAAACAGGAAAAAAAATAAACACTATGGTAGTCTAGAAAATCTTGTTAACCAAAAGTACTACTTCTACCTTCTCACAGATCTCGTGACTTCCATGATTGGAGTGCTGCAATGGATGGCTATAAACTCTTCAGAAGGGACAGGCGAGGAAGGAGAGGCGGTGGGGTGGCTCTGTATGTCAGGGAGTGTTTCGATTGTCTAGAGCTCAACGATTGTGATGATGATACAGTCGAGTGTTTATGGGTGGGGATGAGGGGGAAGGCCAACGAGGCAGATATCCTGCTGGGAGTCTGTTATAGACCACCCAACCAGGATGAAGGGGCGGATGAAACATTCTACAAGCGGCTGGCAGAAGTCTCTCAATCGCTAGCCCTTGTTCTCACGGGGGACTTCAACTTCCCGGACATCTGCTGGAAATACAACACGGCAGAGAGGAAACAGTCTAGGAGGTTCCTGGAGTGTGTGGAAGACAACTTCCTGACACAGCTGGTAAGTGAGCCTAC